TGAAGTAGAGAAGGCTCTACAAAAATTAGAGAAGGCTCAAGGGAAAGTAGAGAATGCTCTACGAAAGTAGAGAAGCCTCTAAAAATCTAGAGAAGGCTCAGAAAATTAGAGTAGGCTCTATTTCAATTAGAGACGGCTCTAAAAGCTTTTTTTAACGAAAAATGAAGTTTCCATCCAAAGAGCAGGCTCCCAAAAAGGAGAGCCGGCTCTCAAGACTAGGGAGCCACCTCCTCTTGTTTACAAGAGCAGGCTCCTTCTAGGGTTTTGATCTACAACGGAAACTTTTTCATTTATTGTTGTCCAACCACCTGCAACAGTTATATCGACCATTTTTTATCTATAAATACAGAGGTTGGTCTGCATCAAAAAATGACACTATTACAGAGAGCATTCTACCATTCCTAAAAAGCATTAAAGAAGCATTCGTTGAGCTCTCATTCCCTCTGCTTTCATTTCCTCTCTTACATTTCATTCTACTGTAGTAATTCTGGGCTTCAGATATATATTCATCTTTACTATAGTCGTGAGCAAAACTGTGTACTTCTATCTTTGAGAGATTTATTGTACAATTCATTTCTTTTCAAAGTTATTGTAAAAAGGTTGGTGTGACCCAAAAGAAAGTCTAGGAGAATGGTGTTCTCTTAGCAAGGAAGAGAAGCAAGGTCTTGCTTAAATTGAAGGTTTGCTCTCCACCATTAAGGAGAAGCTCTAGTGATTTTGGGAAGTCTCAAGGGGGACCTTGAGCCGAGGAGTAGGAGTTTCCAAACCTCGCTAAATCGCCGAGTCATAGTTTGCAATCTCTCATCTCTATCTCTCTTATACTTGTGCCATACACTGCTTGAATATTTCAGTTTCTCTGTGCTTAATAGTTTGTTAAATTTAATATTTTTAAATTGCAAAAAAATTGGCCCTTGACTCTATTCACTCCCCCTCTAGAGTCAATTAGTGACTAACAGAAGCAATCTCCTGACACTCATAAAAAATGTGTTCAGTAGGAGTGGAGTCTGGATCAACATAGACTCCTAGAGGATCAATTTCTAGATCCTTATCAACTTCGTCCGGAGTGGAACTGGTCTGGCTTCGGCAGGAACACGGTCGGAGAAACCCTCTCGGTACCCCTAAGCATACCTGAGAGCCCCAACCCTTGAAAACCAAGTATGAAGAGCCAGCATGCCACCATTCACCTTGCTGATGGTATTGAGCAGGGCATCATGCTCATCCAGGGCCCTCTTCTCAAAGGCCATTCGAGCGGACTGCTCATCAGCCAGAAGGCGCTGAGTTCTGCTTTCTCATCCTTGAGCGAATCGCGCTCGGTCTGCCAAACGATCTTCTCAAGTTGAAGGGTATCATTTTCATCCTGAAGAGAGTCAGTTTCCTTTTTCAGAGCGTCTCTCTCTTTTTCAACTTTGCCAAGCTGGGCCAACAGTTCAGTGTTTTTGGTGGCAAGGATGTTATTTTCTTTATGGGCCACTTCGAGGCTGTCAGAGAACTTATGAGCCTTGGCGTTCCCCATTTCCACCTGCTTCTGCATGGCCATCATACCGAACAAGGTCTGCAAAGATATGCATGAACACTGGTTAAACCGATCGCATGGTCAAAAGAGCTTAAGCATAAATATTATGTGAAGATTTGCAGATTGAGAGATAAAAATTACCTCCATGGCAGATAAGGGAAAGCGGCTGAACACTTCCTTCTGAGACAAACCTTTGGCTGCATTAATATCCTTAGGAGTCCACATGTTCCTGTAATATGCCATAGCGGTCTGACTATCCTTGAACATGGTCTCGTTCGGCTTCACGAATGTCCCATCCGTTTGGACAAATCGAGGAGTCCATGGTGCTGCTGCAGAAGCAGAAACAGAAGCAACAGTTGTAATAGGCCCAGAGGGGGCAGGAGAATTGACTGGGGGATGCAAGAGTGTGCCCGGCCCAGAGATTCGGATCCTCCTTGTAAGAGATACATCATCAAGGTTGACTGCACTGTCAAGATGAGGCCTTTTGCGTCGCTCTTTATCTTGAGCACCCGCAATAACAGCAGAAGTAGTATTGACCTAAGGAGATGCGTTCGGATTGGTAGGAGGAATGCTAACAGCAGGATCAACAGCCACTATGTTTGAAATGGTGTTGGAAATAGTGGCAGAAGAAGAGGCTGAGGCAGGAGAAGAGGTTGTCGCAGCAGCAGCAACAATGACTCGGGGAGGGTTTTTCCTCCTACCGAAGGAGGGAATCTGGAGCTGGCTCATTGTGTTGCCGAGGGCTGAAATTACGAGAAGATTGTCTGAAGTAAGGAGGTTTGAGCAAGAAAGAATGTTGTTCAGAACATACTTCTTCAAGTAATTATCCCTATCCCTGCAGACACTGTAGCTCAAGTCATCACAAGGAATGCCCAAGGAATGGCACAAGAAAGTACAAAAGCGAGGAACACAAATTTCGCAGGGACAATCATTTTTATGTGTTTTGAATTTCTTATATGAAGAGACAGAACACTCGCCAAAGGCACTCGGGATTGGATAATCTCTGCAGCTGGAGAAGACCAGGCCCCTTAACCCCTATTATGTTGTTTCTCCAACCCTTTTTAGACTTGATTGTGTCTTTACATATGGACATCTTTTCAATCGGGTAGAGGTGGTAGAATGGTTCCTTAAATCGGATCTTACTAACCTTGTAACAGAAAAGAAGATCTATGATATTAAGATCCAGACCTCTGTCACTAGTCAGTAGTAGCAGAACGGATAGGATCCTAAAAAAATTTGGATTTACCTGCAAAGGGGAGATCAATCTGTTGAAAACATAGTTAAAGAAAGGATGCAAAGGGAACCTAATGATATTCAACTGAAGATGGGTAAACAAGACTTTGCCGGGAAAAAGGCGAGCACTAGTCCTGATATTCACATCTTTAGGGCAGTTTCTAATTTCTATATCGACAGGGAGATGAAGTTTCATGCGAGGAACATCTAAATCTACGGGTATGGCGAAAATGAATGAGGATTTTAAGGGAGAAAAAGATATCTTCCAAAAGAAAAAGGCTCAGAGGGAGAAAACGTCAAAGAGTACTGCAAGATCGCTAGAAAAAGGAGCTTCGCAGAGGTTCGCCAGAGGAGATTTGATTTGATTTGAAAAAAAAGGCAAGCGAAGATTTGGCTAACAGTGATGCAAGATAGAAACAGTAAAAAAGGATTGAGGGAATGTCTCTGATACTTATAAAGACAGAGTGGGCCCGAAGGCCGAAGCCTCAGGAAAACGAGGAGTTTCTTTGGAATCTCGAAGCATCGGTTTTAGATCTGACCGTCCATTTTCCCACAAGTCCTTCTTGAGCCGTCAACGTCATGATTGGCCGCCGATAATAACTACCCCCTTATTTATTAAGGGGTAATTATGGAGGCAATTGAGGATATCAAAGATGGACTGGACTAGACCCAACCCCCGGGTAGAGCATCAGGTTGAGTGGTAGGTTCGAGCCCAAGCAAAAAGGGTAGCATTATGAGCCCAACACCTACGAAAGAAGGATTTGACCGAACAGTTGAACTCAGCCCATAATGCAATACTGTGAGTTAGGCCCAACGTCTGAGACTTACATGATGAAGTCAGGCCCAAAAGGAAGAAAGCCTAAGAATAAGATCCCTATGTAATAAGTTAGTTAGAACATTTGTAATAGTCTATAAATAGACTATACGAGTAGAGAGAAGGGAGGTTTTTTGGGGGGAGTTTTCATTCTGTTGAAGTGTAAGAGTTCTAGAGAGAGAAAGGTGATTGAATTTCTTGCATCTTCAGAGGGTAAAATTTTTCTTAATATATACATACATATATATATGAGAGAGATCATATGCACGCGATTTTAGAACTACTCATGCAGGTTGTCTTATGTCGTGTAAGTTATTATTATTATTTTTAATTATCTTATTTTCTTTATTTCTAATCTAACCATCATCAAAATGTTTTTCATATCTATTCCAAATTCTTTTAACTTTCACAATTTAGTTTCTTTTGATTTTTTATTTTTTTTTTTATTTTTTCAAACTTACGAACCCAATTTCTTTTAAGTGAAAACTAGAAGACCCTAGTTAAATTGTTTTATCAATTAAATTGTCAAGTTCAAATATTCAGTTTCATTTTAATTTTAATCAATTTATTTTTTTTTCCTTTCTATCCGAACCAAACATATATATATTTTTATTTCCTTTCATTAACTTTCTTCTCTTTTCCTTCCAATTCCATTCTACTAAACTAGCCCTGACTCCGTTTGGTTAAATGGAAATAAATTAGAAAATAAAAGAAATAGAAAGTGAAAGTAAAGTGAAGTGAATAAAAAGAAATAAGATTTTCTAGCATGCATTAGGTTAGTTTGAAAATTTATCCAAAAAAATTATAGATAAATATTAGTTTGTAAATTTGGATACCATGAAAGTGAAAAGAAAGTAATTATGCATATCAAAACTATCCTTATGAAGTAAAATGATGGATTATTAAATTCAAATATATAATTGTTTATATTCATTTTTATTATTTATATTTTAAATAAGACTTTATAATATTTCCTTAGATAAAACTAATTAGTATTAGTTTAAGATAAATAAATTAAAATAAATAAATAAAAAAAAATTAGAGATGAAGAGACAATATTCTTGTTTGGAAGAAAAATCAAATATTTCGCCATATAAAATATATATATATATATATCCATACCGGATTATGAATGGTTAGAAGCAGATCTATTTTGAGCAATTTTACCCAAATTATTATTAATATTCTATATATATATATAATTGTATAATTTGTCTTACGAACTTACCTTAAAATAAAAATTTACTTCAGAATAAAAGTCATTTCGAAAAGAACTTTACACAATTAAGGTATTAGATAAAATAGAAACTGCAAATAAATAAATACTTTGAAAATAAAATTTTTAGAAAAAAAACTCTCAACAATGGAAAAAATTTTCCATTAATTTTTTCTTTCTATTTATCCCAACGAACTTTCTTTTCTAACGGTTCCACCGAACCAAACAAGCTTGTTATCCACCACCTCGCCTCTCACTCACTCAATCACTCTGATGCTGCCCAAAACAAATGTCAACGGCACAATCCTTCATGTCTCCCTTCTGCACCAATTCTATCTCTTAAAAGCAAGAGCCGCCATAACACTCACTGCTCGAACGATCGTTGTGAATTGTTGACGACTTATTACGGATCCACCTTATCGAACACATTTTGCGACGACTTCGAACACCACAAGTAAGAATTTGGAGTAATCACTCTACTTGATCTCTTTGGATTTACACCTTATTTTTCCTTGTATAACTCGAAATATCAGCCTAGTTGTGAACCCAAGTTTAAATTTTCAAAAGATGATTTGGTTCGCTTTCAAGGGTTCAAAAGATGGAGTGTGTCAATTTCTAAATTGAACTTCAACTTCAATTTAGGTAGTGCTTATATATATATATATATATGTACACTTTTTCCTGAAAGTTCAAGTTAATGCATTAAATTGGGTGAAATTATCATGCTTAGGAAGATGGTGATTTTGATGTAAACCCAGACTTAGACATTCTTGTCTAAACACGAAAATTCGATTTCTTTCTATGTTTTGTTCAGTGCTCTGTGGTTGTGTTTGTTGTTACGGTGTCCTCACGTGTTTCTTCTGTCTCCCAACAAGCATGACTCAAACACTCAATCTCCCCTTTCGGAGGAGAGATCATACCATTCCTGCTAATGCCCACCTTGCAGTGGCTTGATCGTTCATAACTACTTTCTAAACTAATCTTGCAAATTAGATGGCAGCTGATCATTTACAATATCTAAAGGACAAATTCATCAACGACTTCCATGAAGCAATGGATGAATTCAGTGTCGAACTTCCCCTCCGAATTCATTTCATGGAGGTCATAAAGGTCTTGTTAAGGAAGACCATCGTGCCCTCCACGCCTATTGTAATGAAGAATTGGCTATTGGACCTCAAGTACTTGTTGGCAGAGTGCATCATCTCAGCAGAGAAGGAACGGGAGCGAAAATTGCTGAACAAGAAAAATCAGTACTTCATCATCCATACTATGAAGAAGATTTGGTTTCTTCATAAAATTAGGACGAAGCTGCTTCAAATCAAATCAAAGCTGCAAAATTTGAGAAATAACGGTTCAGCAGCTGAGGGTTCTTCACTATCAGACACTACCAGAATTTATATACCGGAGTATCTTCCACATCCCAATTCATCCGAAATTCATGGGTTCAATGACCACTTGCACAAGATTGAAACATTGCTCCTCGAAACACCTGATGATGTTGATGCTATCAAGACAATTCCAGATGTTGATGCCATCAAGGCAATTGGAATTGTCGGAATGTGTGGTGTAGGTAAAACTGCACTTGCAGAATCGATTGTCTCTAGCTCTTTAGTCCAAGAGAAGTTCTTTCCAATAATTTGGGTGAGATTATCTAGAACGATCAATCTACCAGAAATTGTCAAGGATTTGTTGATATTGTTGGGTGTTTCGTATCAATTTGTGAACAATAATACTCTTCCTTTGCAACTGAAGGAATTGCATGATCAACTATGTAGCCACAAGTATCTGATTGTGCTGGATAATGTATGGCATATAAATCATGACTTAAGTTCCAATCTAAATATGGATGACACTGAATGCTTCAGCCATCTTTTCCGCAGCTTGCCAAAGGGAGGTGATGGTGCCATCATTGTCACCAGTAGGATGGAAGAAGTAGCAATAAGCATGGTGGGTGAGCAAAACTTACTCAAACTCCAACCTACATTCAATGCAGAGGCAGTCTGGTCCATATTTATGGATTCAGTTCAAAGAAAGAGAGTTTTAGATTCATATCATCACCAAAGGTTGTTAGGAATGAAGGATGAAATTATTTACAGATGTGATGGCCTTCCTTTAGCAGCAAGGGTACTGGCAGAGATTATTTCTACTCAAATTGGCAAGGAAGAGTAAATTTCTTGAGCTTAATTTTCCCTTTTCCTGATTTTGTTTAATTACTTAAATAATTTTAATCATTTATCTAATTATATTTTTTCATTTCTTTTGGTCATACAAAGGATTTTCTCTTTTTCTGTTTCTCCCAGTTATAACTTTATGCAAATACATTGTCAGGTATTGGTCAGATTCAAATGTAGAAAAGGTTAGATTTTCCAACTTTCGTCCAACTTATGTTTCCTTATTTGTCTACTTGATTAGTAGCTGCTATGAGCTCCAATCATGTCTATATATCTAGATTTTGTTGTATCTTTTATTGTATTTTCAGTTGGTTTTCAAAAGTTCAACCAATTGTTGAATTAAATCCTTGTTTGTTCCTATACGAGTTTTGCTTGAGGCTCGATCGACCAGATGTTGAAACTTACGAACTTGCCTTGTTCAAAGTCAGGAGTTTTCCAGGTATCAAATAAAACATACGAGCACTATTCTTCAAACTTGTGGCAACCACTTGTAAAAATGAAACTGTGCCACAATAACTTTTGCTCCTATGAAAATCTGCAGGAGTTCACAATGCCTTTTCTCGACCGGGCCACCAAATAGCAGTTATAGGAAGGTGCAATCCTGTAGAAATAGCCAAGGAATTGGAAATTTTTTTGTTCAAGGAGATAGAGCTTATCTCAGTAGACCTATCTTATATTGAACGGCGGGAAGTGGATCAAAAAACAGTAGACAGTATAATAAGAATCCAGAGAATCGTAAGGAAGAAATTATACAATTCTTAAGGCTTTATGGGCACATAATCTTTTTTATACTCAAAATGTAGAGGAGAATCAGAACTATTATGTTTCCATTATCTTTTAATCAAGTTACAAGTAATTGTTGTTCATTTAGCTGGTATTCAGGGGATCAGTTGACATTTTACATAATCTTATATATACTAAAAATATGGTCAATGCACAGATATGAAAATGGTAGTGCGGTTTGTTAATCTGTGTTCAAGGGTCTGGAATGTGTGGAGGAAAGATGAAACTAAAACCTATCCATTCTCAAATCAACCTTACGCTAAGCTATCTTGAGGACTTCTACACTGACATTGCAAAGAAGCTCTCTGCTTGAGTGAATGGTATATTTTCAGGCAAGTCAGATTCTTGCTTTTATTCTAATTTATATAACAGCAACCTGATCAGTAAAAGTATTATTGAATTATCATAGCATTAATAATTTCATGTTAGGAATAGGGACATTGACCATGTGTGTTTGGTCATGAGTAGTGATAAAGCAGGATTGGATTTATGTATAACATCTATGCGAGTCGTACGCAGCGGAATGTATACGGGAAAGTTTTAGGTTTTGTAAAACAGATCTGTATCGTTACCAACTTTACTTTGTTTAGTAATTAGATAATTAATTGCATGCAATAAAATAAAGCAAAGTATAAAGTTAGAGATGACACCAAGATTTTAGCGACGAAACCCCAGCTGATAAAATATGTCAACTGTAATGTGAAAAACCTTGTGGACTGTGCAGTTCAAAGTAAACTAATCCACTATGATTAGAACAAAGTATATCGAACTTTGACTCTGGCTCACACCCTATCGTTCTACACCACACCAACCACTAACGATCCTCTTGCTTTGCTACTCCCCGTCCAACAGCAACTCGATCTCAGACTTACACTCGATATTTGTAGAAGAGTAGCAGGTAGATCAGACAGCACTCCGTGAACGCTCCAACCCTTCCAAAGTGTGACTGCGTTTATTTCCGTTCTTTAATTGTCTGAATGATATCGAAGAAAATCTGCTTCGTCTGATCGATGTTAATACGCATGTATGATCACGATCAGGATTCGAACACCACAACTCTAAACTCTGTGTTTATGTGTATGTGTTCTAGAAAGATACCAAAAAAATCAACTCTGATTTTCTGCAAAAATAATCTTTCTAAGGCTTTGAATAATATCTTAATAATAACGTAAAAGCCATGTCTAAACCAATGTATATGACATGGTTTATATAGAGTATAGAATGACCTAATCCCTCTGAAAATAAGGTAAATTTCGTGCATAGGATTTGGTACAATTCTAGACCAATTGGGAAATGCTTCAGAATAAGGAAACTGTAGTTGTATTGCAAACATGAGTTTTTAAACCGGTTCAAGGAAGCTAAACCGGTTCAAGTTTGGTAGTGACTCAAATTGAGCATCTTGAACCGGTTCAAGGTTGGCAGACTTGGATATTCGAATTCTTTCAGCCTTATTTTATTCTACGGAAATTTCAGACCAACATGGTAAGTGTAGAATGTCCAACCTTGTTCACATTCCTTCTTATAATGGTGTTCTTACCATTTTCTTCATAGACTCTTCAAATATGGTAGGGTCAAACCACTTCCCAATTCTGTAGTCCCTATCGATCTCGATGACTTGTAAAACAAGTATGTGAAATTACAACTCAACTTGGACCGGTTTGTCTACAATAATTGCCAAAATATAAATTAATATCTTACAATCTCCCCCTCCGGCAATTTCGTGACAAAACCCTAAAAACAATTTTGCAATCTACCCAAAGTAGAAAAGTAAATTACATTATGTGTTTAAAGGAAAATAAATGGAACCACTGTTTTTCTTGGATACAATGCTTGACCTGTTTCCTGCACACTATCAAGCAATACTACCAGTGAAGTGTAATAAAAAAAAAAATTATGTTATAAGAACTCCCCCTGAAGCAAAAATCCCAAAATATTATCTCCCCCTTAACATCACATTAACATTGGGCTCCCCTTTCTTTGTAACAAATTGACAAAGGAGATAAAAGAACAGTAAAGTCCAATTCAAATAAATTAATTAAAGCACAATGCAGATAAGCATAATGAAGTCTAGGAAAGCATATTCTAAAAATATCAAAAAACATAGACAAGTTGTGCAATAATGAACCAAAACATGATGTCATGATGCATGATAAAGAATCAATAAAAGTAACACCATGTCTCCTCAACAACTCAGAGATAAGAAACATCATCTCTATTCCTCACCACTCTCTTCTTCATCCTCATCCTCTTTATCCTTATCCATATACAGAGCCCCATCTGCATCATCTCCCTCATCTTCAGCTTGCAGTGACGGATCTGGAGGTACAGGCCTATAGACATCTTCCTCCGAAACCCCAGATGGCTGTCCTCTGAGCTGAGCTACTTGGAGTTTGAGATCTCTGATCTTAACCATCATCTTCTCAAATAATGATTTTTGATGCTGAAGTAGATAGGAATACATGATGTTGGCATCAGATTTCATGAAAGTTCCTTTCGAAGCAAATAGCTGAGAAATTTTTGAAATTTGTGACAGCCCTCATCAATAGATCTCATCGCCTTTCTAGCATTCTCCCTAGCAGTTTTTGACTTGTTCAAAGCACGAGGGTCTAACTCAGTCATGATAGGCTTATGATTAGCCTTTGGAGGAATCGACACATTCTTCTTTTTCAGAATTTTCATGATTATCATCGGAAATGGAGAAGAGTACTTGTGCGAATTTTTCTTGTAATGAGCAATGATAAGCTGCAGAATAGAGTGGTCAATCAAAATATTTTGATTGTTGGGAAGAAAATAGAGTACTTGTGCCCGCTCTAGAGTCAATTCATCATTTTTCCCGAAGTAGCCCATATTTGCCATAGCAAACAAGTTGAAGAATGCAGCTTCATCTATCAGAAATCGGGCTGGGATTGTATCTTGGTTCACAGAAGAATTAGGCACACAGATTTTTGGTATAATCCAGGAAAAATCAGGGCCTGTAACTGTCAAAGGCAAAGTATGTCCTGTCAATTGATGATTTTCCGGAAGGCAAAGAATATAAACAATATCCTGTTCATCAACTGTATAATCAATCCCAAACAAAGAGACAACGAAGTGGGATTCATGAACTTCACGGATATTAGCATAGAAATAGCTAATCATATCCGGACAATAAACACCTTTGCCAAGTCTAGTAAAGTAAAGCCAATGATGAGCTTTGATGTAGTTCACTAGAGCTTGTCCCGCAGTGTCTTGAAGCTTCTAAAGATTAACATTTCTCTCTGTTTTGATTGGCCCATCCTTGTAAACAGAGTTACACATTGTCCAAGCCTCTTCATTGTAAGAATGTGACGCTGTAAATTCAATCATTCCAGTGCTAGAAATTGAAGGATATCTAATAGGAGCTATGCTTGGAGCTTGAGAACCACTTTAAGGTTCTTAAATGGGGAAGCTGGTTCTAGACCTCTTTGGTGGTCTAGAAGTCTTAATACCTTTTCCTTTAGCTTCTCTAGACAGTTTAAGAGGTATATTCTTTACAAAATTGTTTGCTTTGAAGCTTTGAAACTCATTCAGTAATTTTACCGAACACCTGGTGTGCAACCCTAAAGGTGTTAAAAAGACAAGCTTGATTCGATCTTCAATCCTCCACAAAAATCAACAACAACAAATTTGTAATCCACATGCACAAAGAAGCATCAATTTCTCCAACCAACTCAACAATTTAACCAATCATCTAAGATTTTAAGCCCAAACTCCATAACTTTCATTCAAACCCATTTTGCAAATTTCATTTCTGGATATAACTTCTTCAATCCTTGGTGTCAATTGTGAGTCGTACGCAGCGGAAATTACTTAGAAAGTTTTAGTTTGTTTTGTAAAACAGATCTGTGTCCTTAACAACTTTGCTTATTTTATGTTTTAACAATTAAACAGTAATCATATGCAAATAAAATAATGTAAAGTATAAAGTTAGAGATGACACTAGGATTTTAGCGAGGAAACCCCAGTTGATAAAAGATGTCAACTGTTATGGGAAAAACCTCGTGGACTGTGCAGTCTAAAGTAAACCAATCCACTATGCTTGAAACAAAGTATACCGAACTTTAACTCTGGCTCACACCCTATCGTTCTACACCACACCAACCGCTGACGATCCTCTGGCTTTGCGACTCCTCGTCCAATAGCAACTTGATCTCAGACTGACACTTGATATTTGTAGAAGAGTAGCAGGTAGATCAGACAACACTCCACGAATGCTCAACCCTTTCAAAAGTGTGATTGCATTTACCTCTGTTCTTCAATCGTCTGAATGATATAGAAGAAGATCTGCTTCGTCTGATCGATATTGATACAACTGTATGATCACGATCAGGATTCGAACTCCATAACTCTAACCTAACTAGGTGAATATGTGTATGTTCTAGGAAGACTACAGAAAAATCAACTTTGATTTTCTAAGAGGGATTAACTTCTTAAGGCTTTAAAAATATTGAATCTATATTACAAAAGACGTTCTATAAACGTTGTGTATGACATGGTTTATATAGAGGTTTACAAAGTCCTATTCCTTCATAAAATAAAGGAAATCTCGTGCATAGGACTTTAGAAGGAAAGTGGAATCAAAAAAGGATTCAGCAGAATAGGAAACTGAAAGTTCGAATGCTGTCAGGACTCTTGCTACCGGTTCCCAAATTGGCTACCGGTTCAAGAAGGTCAGAAGATTTTCGACGTACTTTGCTACTGGTTCCCATTTCTCCAACCGGTTCCCACTAGACAGAATCCAATTGAAACTTGGATTTTCTGTATTTTGGTAACTCTGAACATATACCATATAGGTAATTGTGTTCTAAGTGGGAAACGATGTCCTAATGTGTTGTTCTTTCCTTTTCAATGATCAATAGTACTTTCCTCTTCTGTTCAACCTCTGAATTTCGCAATCGATGTCAAGTCTGATATGGTAACTGAAATTACAACTCGACTAGGACTCGTTTTGTAACCGAAATATGCCAATTTACAAAAATATATCTCACATCAATCTCCAATATGAAGAAGATATGATGGAATATATCACTTAATGATCAATGCTATGGCATGGATTGATGACAAA